GAGATGGTTGTGGACAGTGGCTATGGTGGGGAGGAGGTGGGGAGGAGGCGGCGGCCATGGTGGGAGGAGGCTGTATTGTGGGTGGAGATGATACGATAATTTTGGGAATTTTTTTTTTGGGGGATAAACAGTGCTACAGTAAAGCTACAGTAGGAAAAGTAATTCCTATACACAGTGGAGAAATCACAGAAAGTATCCTTTTCTTACTTTCTCTTTCCTTCATTAAATCTGAAAGTACTTTTTAAAAGATGAAAAGTAAAATTACATTAATAAACATAATTTTTACTTTTACTTCATATTTTTAGGAATTGATAGTAAAAATCAGAAAGTAAAAGTGTTAGTAAACAGGCCCTTAGTAATAATTGCATTTGCTGGAACTAGGCTGCAATACTGGTCTGTGGAGTTGATACATGATATAGAATTGATGAGGTTTCATGGTGTAGGCTATTTGTTTATGATATCATTTTAATTATTAAAATTAGAGTAAGGACAGTGCTAAATTAGAGATCTAAGAGAAGATTTAGGATTTGCTATGTTTAAGATAAAAAGGAAACAGGTGGTAGAACAATGAATAACAACAAATACTACAACAAAAGAAAAAGAGTTTCAAGAATGACAAAAAAGTAAACAAGAAAATTTGGAAATATATGAGAGATTTTAAAAATAAAGCTAAGAAGATTCTTAGTAAATGTAAACAAGAGGCATTAAATGCTTTATATGAAAGATTAGATAAAAAAGGGAGGTGAAAAACCTCTCCCCTCAGGCGATGTGAGATGTCACAATCACACCTTCAGTCACTATTAGGACCTAGTGTCCTTGCTTGTTTGATCCTCATGGGTTTGTTCACGCTCCCCCATTTTCAGCCGAGGATTGGCACTGATACCATCTGTCACGACCCGTTTTGTTGTGTAGATATTGTCCGCTTAGCACACTCTTAGTGTTATGAGATGTCCACACAAATAAGTGCAAACAACCTCTCCCTCTAGGCGATGTGGGACGTCACCAGGGACGGACCCAGAAAATTATGTGAGAGAGGGCAGCCTTTAACAACATCAAGATGAAAAAAATTCAAACCATTGAATGGGACAATAATGAAAATTTTCTATAATTCTAGTGGGGGCAGTATTAAAATTTTATAGATATGTAATTCAAATACAGAAAAAAGTAGGTAAATAATCCAAAATAAAAATTTCACACTGAGCCTTGCATAGGTCCGTGCCTGGACGTCACAATCACCCCCTCATGGACCTAGCATCCTTGCTGACGCTTCCCCCATTTTCGGTTGAAGATTCGCTCTTATACCTTCTTTCACGCTCCACTCCGTTGTGTAGATATTGTCCGCCTTGCACACTCTCCGTGCTCACGGTTTTCAAAACACATCTACACAGTTAGGAGATGTCTATACATATAAGTGCCAACAACCTCTTTCCCAGGCGATGTGGGATGTCACAATCACCCTTTCTTGGGACCAGCGTCCTCGCTAATCTGACCATCGTGCGCACGGGCACGATTTTCCATTTTTGGCTGGGGATTGGCTTTGATACCATCTATCATGATCGTCCCACCCTGTCTAAATATTGTCCGCTTCGCACACATTTCGTGCTTGTAGTTTTTCAAAACACGTCTACACAAGTAGGTGATATGGGACGTCACAATCACCCCCTCTTAGGACTTAGCATCATTGTTGGTCTGACCCTGATGGGCTTGCGTACACTCCCCCATTTTTGACTGAAGATTGGCTTTTGATTGCATCTATCTCGACCACCCCACCCTGTGTAGATATTGTCCTCTTCGCACACTTCCTGCTCAAGTCATGGTTTTTCAAAACGGGTCTGCACAGTTAGGAGATGTCCACACATGTAAGTGCTAACAACCTCTCCCCCTAGGCGATGCGGACGTTTCAATCACTCTGTCATGCCTGCTTCATTGTGTAGATATTCTCTGCTTTGCAAACTCTTTGTGCTTACGCTTTTCAAAACGCAGGGAGGCATCCACATATATAAGTGCCAACAACTTCTCCCCCACAGGCGATGTGAGATGTCACAATCAGCCCCTTTTGGGACCCAGTGTCATTTCAGGTTGGGGATTAGCTTTAATACCATGTGTCACGACCCGCCCTTACTTGTGCAGATACTGTCCGCTTCGCACATTCTCCGTGCTCTCAATTTTCAAAACACGTCTACATGGTTAGGAGGCGTCCACAGATATGTTTCAACAGCTTATCTCCCTAGGCGATATGGGACGTCACAAAATAAATGCAAAGGAATATAGATGTCTAAAATCAATGAGTGGCAAGACAAGAAATAATAGAACTAGAAAAACAAACACATTCAAGGGATGATTTAAGGATCACCAATTGGAGATAAAATGTTTGAAAATAAATTAAAATGTTTTCGCCATGTGCGGCAATAACTATTGATTGCACTGATGAGGAAAAATCACATGGTACTTATTGAGGGTGATGCCAAGGGAAGGGAGAGACCAAAACTAACACATGTTGAAATATTTAGGGAAGGTGTGATTGCATGTGCTTAAATTGATAGATAGAGTGGAATGATAAAACAAGATTCATGTAATTGCCTAAAATAGGTTAGAAGAGATTTTGTTGAGTTGAGTCCATTTGTGTATGTGATATTTAGTAAGTTTAAATGGTCATAGTAGTCAAATTTTGTTGATTTCTTAATCTAGGAGAGGTTAGGGCTGCAAATGAACCGAGCCGAGCTTTGGGTTGTTCATGCTCGGCTCGCAAATGATAGAGTGGTGTTCGGGCTCAGCTTAGGATCGCGCGAGCTTGGCTCGACATTATCTTGATAGGCTCGGTTCGAGCTCCTCTATGCCATTTTCTTCTTTGCGACTTTAGATTCCGATAATCAATCTTCAACTTTCACAACTCATGATTTCATTAACAACAATGATGTTGAGATTAGTAGATGGAGACCTAATGATAGAGATGACAAACTAACAAGAGAGAGATCTAATCTTGTGGATAGTGGTGGGGACTAGTAACAAACGCCTGTGAGGGGTTGCCAAAGAGAGAAAGAGGTCACTTGTGTGGAAATCACTGGAGACTTGCATTCATCGCTGGAGAAGGGCTGCCAGCATGCGTTCTCGTCGAGAGTAGTTGCAAGACAGTAGGGCACTGTGGCTGTAGTTGCGACTGGAGGTGGGGTGTTAGGGTTTAATATTTATAATAAGTTACTACAGAGTATAGATCCAATGATTCAAATTAGATTATGGATGGATGATGGGCTCTAATGGTCTAGTATGAATGGTGTTTATTCGTAGGATAAGTAAATTGAAAAATACAATGGGCCTTAGCCTTGAATAATCTTAGTTGGGCTAAACTATATGATAAGAATTTAAAATATAAAATCTAATTATGTGAGCTTGATTATGAGCCCAACAAGCCGAGCTCACCATTGTTCAAGCTTGACTCGTTTACTAAACGAGCCTAGAAAATCGGCTCGTTTACTTGATGAACGAGCCGAGCCAAGCTGAACTCTTTATGAACAGCTCGGTTCATTTGCAGCGCTAGTTGAGGTTGGTGAATTGCAAAGCATATAAATTTTGTTTCCTTGGTAAAAAAGTTTAGTTTTGAAACTTTTAAAGCTTGGTGTGATATATGATGCAAACTTATCGAAAGGGATTATCCAAAGGAAGTTCTCTTACTCTTTAATTCTATATTTCTATGTAGTCAGATTCTATGATTATCTTTCTTTAGTTTCCATTCCAACCAAAGATCTATAACATAACCATTCCCTATCCTTTTTAAGCACTTAATTTGCAGCTGTGCAGTACCAAAATTATGAATTTTAGCATCTTGACAGATTAAAAAGCAGCAAATTTCAAACTCTTCCCCATTCACAATGGTTCTAGAACCATTCTTCTACCTTTTGAACCTAGACCCAAAAGCTTTCCTTTACGTACCCAAGCACAGCATTACATCAATAGTAGGTAGCACTATCTTATATCCAATTATTATCCTACTTCATGATGTTTCCCATGTTCTAGTTAAATCGGATGCTTTGAAAATTCTTAGCTATTATTGATTGCTGACGTTGGGTCATCTTTTTCTAGAACACTGGTGTATTTGCAAAACCATAGTCATTACCAACGAATGTCAGCTTTTGTGACTGCTGTTACTTTCTTTGATCACGTACGTAAATGCTCTACGGGGCTCTATCATTTAGTGATTTTGATCTCAAATAGTGTGATGTTGTGACTTGAATTTTGTTTTGGAATGCGACTCGGTTGATTGGGGTTTTGGGAACAGCGGGCCGAGGAAATTTTTTTCACCCGTTTTTTCTCTTGTGGGTCGTGGACCCTGTTTAGTAGTCTCTTGTAGCCCGGTATATAAGGGTATTTAGGATTTGGAGTGGAATCAAGAGAGTCACTGAAAATCACAGTAAAGAGAGAGAGCGAGAGCTAGGGTTTTGGGGCTGAAACTTGTAATCTCCTAATTTTCGCATTGCGAAACCGTTAGCCGGATCTTCACCGTGGACGTAGGCACAACTTGTGTCGAACCACATAAATATTTGTGTTCTTTGTGTGGCGTGTTTACTTTTTTGTCGTGATTCTTGATTTGTTTTTAGTTCGCTGGATTTTGTTGTCGATCCTTTTCTTCGACAGCATCTAGGGTCTGCATTTTTGAACCATGAAACACTCGGTTTCCATTATGTGGGTGTAACCAACCGGTCATAACAGATGGCATAAAAACATGAGATGCTTTTCTTTTGTTCTAGGTGTTATTTGCTTTTTGGTGAATGTCATTTGAAGACCAAACAATAACCAATATTTCTCTACCCAGCCTGCTTATGCAAGTACACTACGATAAAGAAGGGTTAACCAACTGGACTATAATACACCTGAATAGCCTTCTGTAGTTTTGTATAGCATCACTAGTGGTGCAAAGAAATGAATTGAACATGCCTTCTCAGTATTGGTTTGTTGCCACCCCCCACCGTACATCAAATTAACTTGATCTTTGACATGCTTTCCAGATTCAGTTGTTGCTTTTGGCTAGGATGATGGTTATCTTCACATGTCTGTTTCCTCTTTCTGTTTTTCTGAAATCTTTGGAGGGCATCAATTTTACCCATGCAATTAATTTGATTGTTTGTACACAAAGGTGGAATGCATCCAGAGTTAAGTTTCTTTCTCTTTTCTCTCTCTCTCTCTCTCTCTCTCTCTCTCTTCTTTTTTTTTTTTTTTTTTAATTTTTTACTGCATGCAGAAAAAGAATACTTTGATCTGAACGGAAAAGAAGATTATTAAAAAATGAAGACGAAAACTAATTTGAGTGAGTTAAAATGCATGGTGATTTTTTATTTTTAAAAAACTTCTGTTTTCTTAAGCATGGTACAAGTTTAAACTAAAAGTAAGAGTAATAAAGGAGAGAAAATGACACGTGCACACATAGAAGAGGAAAGATGGTGATGTTTCATTTATCTATACTGGTTGATTTAGTTTTTAAAATTTTATTCTTGAAAGTGTATAAACCTGCATTTACATGAAGTATGTAAGCACATGTATGTCACACATGTATTATGCAAAGCAGCAAGCAATTAGATTATGTTAGAGCCAACATACTCTTTTAGGGCAAGAAATTTTTTGGAAATAATTTATTATGTGCATTTATTTTATTTTGATTGTCATAGTTGATGTTTATTGTTTCAGGCATGGCTTGAGGAGAATTTTTCTGGTGTTTCGGACTGTTCAAGTGATGAAAGCTTAACTGAAGATTCACCTCTGGGTTTCAATTTCGAGTCTCAATGTTTGTACATACAATTGGAGTTCTGCCCTAGGTATATGTTTCATTTTTTTTTTTTTTTTGTTAGGAAAGTTCTTTTGTATTTTTATACCTCACACATTCAAGTAATCATTCACATATCATATCTTTAAGAAATGTTACTTTCCTCAGGAACTCCTTTATGTATTTCAGCCCTTTCACAGTTGAATTGAGTGCAAACTTTTAGACTGCATGTCTGCAATTGATCATTCGCATATGATATATTTTAGAAATACTAAAATGGATAAAAGATAATTCTGAAAATCCTAGCAAGTGATACATTCATTAGAACTTCAAATTCTTAATAATCAATTCAAGAATTAGCACATAACCTAAATTTGTTTTAGCATAACAAATTGTATGAAGGAGCTCTGTTGAAAGAAAAATTAAAGTTGAAGAGAGACATTAAAACATGAAGAACGCAAGAATATAATGTGGTTCAGCCACTAGGGCTTACAAGCCTTACATCCACGACACACAAAGCCCAAAGGGCTACATCTTTTTCATTCCATTCTCTCTTAATTTTGTTTACAATAACCACCTCTATTTATAGGTTACTTGGGGAAGAATTGTAGCTATAATAAAGGAATTACACAGAAAGTCAAATACAAATATGGCAACAACTTGTTGCCCAAGTCTAGCAACTTAACATTCTGTTAAGGAGTGATTTAAGAGCTTAAATCACTCATATAATTATTCTCCAACAAACTCCCTATATCAAGCATCTTTGGATTGAACAAAAACTTCCATAAACTCTTTTCAATTAGGGAGGATAATATGCAAGATCAAGACTTATGAGGGTGAAACCAGAAAACTACAAAGTAAGAGTTGAATGGTTGAGATAAAGATCGTATAGAAAGAAAGGGAGGAATAAATAGAACATACCAAGGCGTAGAGAATAGAGTGGACCTCCAAGTTACCTGAGCACAAAATATGTTTAAAACAGGTGTAAAGCATCGAGCTAATGTCCTCCAATGCAAGCTTCTGAGGAAGGATGATGGTAAGTAAGGAAAACAAAGAAGAGTAGATGGAAAAGAAAGGATGAGATTGGTCGAAACCTCTGTTCTGTAGAAATTGTTTCAAAGCCTTTCGCAATCTGGGGTCTAGGCATGAATTTTTCTTGTATTATCAGTTTGATTGCAGTTAACCCTAGTGTTAGAAGAGCTGTACTCAAGTAGTCATGTGCCAAGCAGCGATCACTTGAGTGATGACGTGGACTCGTTGCACATTATAAGGTAAAGATAACCATTAGACAAATGTGCCAAACAAGTCATACTATGTAATATAGGGAACATAATGGAAACTTAAAAGATAAATGAGAATTCCTTGTAAGAATATATGGCATGTAAACTATCTAACGAGATTAAAGCTATTCTTAAATTAGGAGCCAAAAAAAAATCTGATTCGGATAACTAACAGTGTCTTGGAAAGTGTCGGTCTAACTTTATTAAGCAGTAATTATGGTATGGGAATCTGAAGATGTCATGGGAATAGTAGAAGCTGTCATTAATGCTTTTTGGGTAGCTTGAAAGTCAGTCTAGAAAAGTGAAGCGTCATTAATAGCTGTCTTATAAAAGGGACAACCCTCTTATCTTCTGTAACCAAGTCTTTATCGATATACTTTTGAGACATTATCAGATTTTTAACTTCTCTTAAGGCTTCCTAGATTTCCATTTAAAAATCTAGGCTCCAACGGTGATTGGAGTAACCCTATTCTTTCTTACTGCCGAAAGAAGGTTTCTGTTTGCTTCAACGTCTTCTCTCTTTGTATTATCAGTGAGGCATAAGCACAAAATTAGAATTGTGAATAAATGGCCTACTGAAAGATGCAGGCCCATGAGAATGATACGTGATGTTGATGAATCTAGGCATAGGCTGATTCCTTATGGTTCAACTTTTATAAGGCAGTCTTCAATTTGTCAACACAATAAACAACAATAGGGTAACTATTAATCATGAATCTGCACTTATTGGGGTTCACATATAGTTCATTGGACTTCAAGGTCTCTAGAACTTGCCTCAAGTCTGATGCATGACTTATCAACACCATAGACACCAATACGATTAAACTATTAATCCTGAAAGTGCACTTATTGAGGTTGACATATAGTTTATTGGCAAGACCTATAGATGAGGATATCATCAAAGTTGATGAGCTTCAACTTTACAATTAATGGTTGAATGGTTTGAGTCATCACATAGGTAGAACTGCATGGTTCCCTGTTTTAACCAAATGACATGATTAACCACTCATACAGACCTTCATGCATCCTTAAGGTACTTGTCTATTTTGTGGTTCACAGAGCCATAGTTCCAAGCATGAGAGGTTTTGGCAGGCTGCTATTTTGTGCCTTCAGTACTCGGTAGTGCATTTTGTAAGGAATGTAATATGCCCTTAGAAGGGGCAGAACTGTCTATGTTGAATTTAAAGCATTTGTTGCTGAGTTTCGGGTAAAATTATCTTTTTTCTGTGATATTTTTGGGAGATAAGGTTTTGGTTTAAAAGAAGAAGTTTTGGGTTTGGCTTACTCAAACCGAGAGCCAAGAGCTATATTTATATACAAGAATAGGGTACAAAGAAAGGAAACCAGCTCAAAGAAAAACAGGAAATATGCCAAAATCTACGTGATCCCATGATTGCGGGGATCTTATCGACGTGATCCCATGATAATAGGGATTTTACATAAAACACCTAATAAAAAGACTGAAAACAGCTAATAAAAAAAAAAATAATAATAATAATAATAAAGATATTTCAACAGGTTTGTTATAGTTTTCTTCCCTTACATGGAGTTTGTTTCTTTAAGCTTTAATGTATTGCTTTATCTATGAAACTGGAGAGATTAAATTTTCTGAAAATTCTTTATTGAACAAAAATTCCTTTTTGTATTCTTCTTTTGTACAAAGCAGACCATTGGAGAAGTTTCTGAAAACTTCACACAATTTGGATGGACAAAAAGTATGGAAGCTTTTTCGTCAAATCATGGAAGGCCTGGCTAAAGTCCATGTGGCTGGTGTTGCACACCTGGATCTGTCTTCAGCTAATGTTTTATTAGATGCAGAGGATAATATACGCATATCTGATTTTGGCTTGGGTAGGTGTCAACTCAAGTCAACAAAGCCTTTTCCCAATTTTTTATTTTTATTTTTTCTATTTATGTATCTTTTTAATTTCTCATTCAGTAAATAAGTGCAGTAAATTTGTACAATGCAGCTCGACTGTATGACCACCAAACAAAAGTTGACACCATGGATGATATATTCGGCCTTGGTCTCATTTTTGCTGAGCTTTATAAACATTTGCTCACGGAGCATGAGAGGTCTGAGCTTTTACGAAATCTGAGGGAGAAGAGAGATTTTCCAGAAATCTGGATTAATGAAGAACACACGCAGTTAATGCAAACAATACCATCTCTTCTTGCTGGTGAGAGCTCATCTCCAAGTGGAATGCGGCAGCAACAGCAACAGGTTTCTTCTAGTTCAGTAAGCGCACTGCTTGTGATTGGTTGAATTTATAATTTGATTGCTTCAAATTTTTATAAATTCATCATTAAAGTCGAGCAAGATTCTCTGGATCTTGTAAGATCCAACCCTTTCTCATCTTTCAAAAATTATATTTTGCTAATTTATTAACTATTTGACAGGATAAACAAGAAATACAAACTCTTGGTGACAGTGAGGGTAAAGAGCCTGATTTGAAGAAAATGAGGTAATGTACATTTACTGTTCTAAAGTTCATTAGGTTGATTCATACATGGTTTTAATTAATGGCATGTATTGTGTTGACTAAGTGAAAAGTAGCGCAAAGTTGTTGTTCAAGTCACTTTAAGAGAATCCAAAACGGTCCTAACTTGCTTCTAGTTGTACTATTTGGTATTGTGAGAAATAGCTTTGCATAAGCAGCTTGGGATTTTTCATTTCTTTTTCTGGTTTTCCATAGTTACTAATGCATGCTGATTGCTGCAATAACTTCCAAATAAGGTATTAATGACTTGGAATTTTGAGAATGATTTAGGATAACATTAGGAGCACCCAGTTTAACTTATAATATCAACTATATACGGTTGCAAGTTGCAACATGCTTCCAATGCCTTCCATTATCATCTGGCTCTATTGATTGACTGGGTTAAGGTTGATGGTAGTTTATTGTTCAGATCTAGTTGGTGATTTCATACCCATTTAGTATATAGATAACGGTTTCGAGTTGGGGTCTCTGTTATTATAGGTACTCACTTGGGCCGTAACAGGCTAGTGGTTTTTATGCATTAAGAATAACAAATAAGTTAAAAGAGAAAAATTGTAGAATAGTTATTAGGCTAACTACATTATATAAAGCAGAGTGTTGGGATTTAAAAAAGAAATAAGAACAAGAAGTTCATATAATAGGAATTAGGATGTTAAGATGGATGATGGGAGAGACTTGAAGATATAGAGTAGATAATCAAATTGTGAGGGAGAAATTAGGACTGGTGCTTATTAGTGATAAAATAAGAGAGATGATTTAGGTGGTATGGACATATACAACAAAGACTTATAGTTCTCCCCCACACTCCCCCACCCCCCCCCCCCCCCCCCCCCCCCCCAAAAAAAAAAGAAAAAAGAAAAAAGAAAGACCTATAGATGCATCAGTAAGAAGAGGAAGTTTAATTCGCACGAAGGTAAGAGACAGAGGCAATCGAAATGAACATTGGATGAAGTAATTGGAGTTGATTTTAAAACGTTAAAATATCATAGCAGAAATGACAAAATGAATGAGTTTTTCCTGAATATTTTCTTTATTTCCTTTGTTCAAACTTATTGGCAACTACTAAAGTGTTCTTTTGATTTGAAAAAGAAAACAGCATTCCTCAATGGTAATCTTATGTAATAGTGTGTTTGGAGAAGATTAGAGATAGAGGTAACTTTTAATATTAATTTACCAAGTGGCTACTCACAATGAGTGTCCTTACAGCTGTTTAGCCCGAACATTTCATCATCGCACCAAGCAATGGCCCCTCACCATGATTTCACTAATTCATGATACTTTTATTATATTGCAATTATATTTTCTCTGAATTTGTGGGGACATAGGTTTTCATGGCATTACTTTAGATGGCAAAGTTCTTTATTGAAGAATAAAATTGGTAAATTATTTTATTTAGTGGTTAAGTGGTCATTAGATATGCTAAATATAAATTCTATATATTATTTTTAGTATTTTTTATAAAAAAATTTGGAATTAGGATCTCTGATTGCAATTGAATTAGTGTAGCATGTTTTATGGCAGGAACAAGTATTGCCTTATCTTTTCTAAATAATAGTATTTTTTTGTGATATTGTTGTATATTACAATATAAATATCAAAGAGAAGGTGCGATTGATCTAAATTGGGAATCCTCATCATCTTACCTTTATTTCATATAAACGGAGTCAGCCACATTCATTCTCTTTTTCTATTAATTTTTAAACTAGTTTCTAATTACTTAAATCTTGTGTTAATTTTGGTTAGTCTTTTTTTTTTTTCACTATTATGCCCCACTATTTTTGTCATTTTGATATATATACTTATGAAATATTACCATTGCCCTCCTGAAATTATTTTAAAAAATCATTATTGCCCCCCCTCACATGAGTTTCTAGGTCCCTCCCTGCTAAATGTCATCCGACTCATCCTTAATTTTTCCCTTATGCATTGGTTATCAACTCTATATCTTCTAGTAGCTCCTATTATTCATTTCAACATTATCATCTAAGTTACATGAATGTATGCTGGTTATTTTAATGCCTAGCACTCTGTTCCTTAAAATGGTTATTTTGAGTAATCTTTAGTCCTTGGATCATTACCAATGTATTGTAATCCTGTCGGAATTTATTAAATTAATATTCCATATAATCTTTTTTAGTTAAACAAGTTTTTAAGCATTTTGCCTTTAAGTTGTTTTTTAATGTTTTTAATTTTATGAAGTTCTTCCATAGACTTGCCGATGCCCATAGAAAGGGTAATCATATTGGGGGGATTCGGGTGGAAGGGGAGACGTTGTGTAAGGTGGAGGAGTTTTGCAGGGTAATTACTGATTTCTATAAGAAGTTGTTCACAGAAACCTCTAGTTGGAGATCTTTGCTTGGGAGGCTTCTATTTGACTCAATTTCTGGTGATGAGTGCTCTTGTTTGGAGGAGCCTTTTTTGAAGAGGAAGTTTTGAAAACTGTAGTATCGAGATCGAAAGAGAAAACAATGGAGGCGTAGTCCCTCTTTTTCCTTCTATTGTCAATCTCATAAGCCCTAATACATAAGGGGCTTATATACAAGAGGAAGTGTTACCTATTTACACACTAACCTCACATATTATAGAGAATTACATAATACCCCCAACTATATATATAATTACATTCTAACACTAAGAGAATATATATCATATAATCCTAGCTTGGTACAAATAATCTTCAATATGTGATGACCTAGAGATTTAGTAAACACATCAGCTAGTTGGTCTTCAGACTTCACAAATGGAGTAATGATATTCCCAGTCAGTATCTTCTCTCGAATGAAGTGACAATCAACTTTAATATGTTTGGTCTTCTCATGGAACACAGGATTGGATGCAATGTGAATGGCTACTTGGTTAACACAGAACAATGGAATAGCATATTTGATTGTCAACCCAAGTTCCTCCAGAAAATTTTGTATCCATGTCAACTCACTAGTGGTATGAGCCATTGCCCTGTACTCAGCTTCAGCACTAGACCGAGCTACCACTGTTTGTTTCTTACTTCTCCATGTAACAAGATTCCTTCCTACAAATGTGCAAAAACTTGTAGTAGACCTCCTATCTAAGGGGGATCCAGCCCAGTCAGCGTCTGTAAAACCTTCGACACTGAGATGACCATTCGATTTGTATAGCAACCCAAATCTTGGAGCTTGCTTGAGGTATCGAATAATTCGTAGGACAACATTCCAATGTGGTACTTTAGGAGCTCCCATGAACTAACTTACGACACTAACTGCATATGAAATGTCGGGTCAGGTGATAGTGAGATAAATTAATTTCCCTACTAAACGTCGATATCTAACATGCTTATCAAATATATCACCCTCATTAGACAAGAGTTTTGTATTTGGATCCATAAGAGTATTAGCGGGACGACCACCCAACATACTTGTTTCTTTTAATAAGTCCAGCACATATTTTCTTTGAGACAAACTTATACCTTTCTTGGATCTAACAACTTCAATACCAAAGAAATATCTAAGTTTACCCAAGTCCTTAGTGTGAAACCGATTTTGCAAAAACAATTTCAACTTAACAATGCCTTTAGAATCATTGTCTGTAATCACAATATCGTCCACATACACCATAAGAAGAATGAAGCCAGCATTGGTGTGTTGGTGAAATACCGAGTCATCTGTCTGGCATCTGTTAAGACCAAATGCTAATGCAGCCTCAGAGAATATTCTGAACCAAGGCCTTGGAGATTGTTTCAATCCATATAGGGCCTTCCTAAGACGACAAATAGTATGGCGATACTCCTCCTGAGCAACAAACCCAGGTGGTTGCTCCATATAAACTTCATCAGTTAAGTCACCATGTAAGAAGGCATTTTTCACATCTAATTGAAACAAAGACCAGTTACAATTGACAGCAATGGAGATGAGGACTCGGATAGAAGAGATCTTAGCAACAGGAGAAAATGTCTCATCATAATCAATACCATAGGTCTGAGTGTACCCTTTTGCCACAAGACGAGCCTTCAACTGTTCAATAGACCCATCATGATGGTATTTAACAGTGTAGACCCACTTTCAACCAACCGTTTTAGAGCTCGGAGGTAAGGAAACAAGATCCCATGTCCGATTACGGTGAAGGGTATCCATTTCATCTACCATGGCTTGGCGCCAATCCGAATTAGAGAGAGCAGCTTGCAAAGTCTTGGGAACAAAAGTAGTTGACACTTTGGATAAAAAAAACATGAGAAAGAGGATGAAACATTACTGTAAGAGACAAAGTTAGAAATGGGATGTGCTGTAACATATGACTGGGGAGCCTTACAGAAAGCAATAGGCAAATCATTAGGTATAGTAGGTGGTGTCGGATCCAATGGCTTCGAAGAATATGGAGGGAGCGAAGTAGGTAGTCGGGGGCGCCGAGTATAAACCGGCAATGGGACAATAGAGCGTGAAGGGTTGGGAGTAGGGAAAATGTGGCAAAGGTGGCTAAGGAGTAATACTAAGAGGAGGACAAGAATTAGAAAAATATGGGGTAGACTCAGAAAAAGTGACATCTGCACTAGTGAAATATTGGTGAAAATGAGAACTGTAGCAACGATAACCCTTATGAGTGAGAGAATACCCAAGAAAAACACACTTAGTGGCACGAGAGTCGAGTTTGTCAAGACCGGGTCCAAGGTTGTGGACATGACAAACACACCCAAAGACCTGAGGAGGAAGATTAAACGACGCTGAATCGGGAAATAAGACAGAATAAGGAGATTTCCCTTGTAACACCAACGAGGGCATCCGATTAATAAGATGACAGGTCGTAAGAACAACATCACTCCAAAATCATTTGGGAACATGATATGGAATAAAAGAGCACGACACACTTCCAAGAGATGATGATTTTTACGTTCAGCGACTTCGTTTTGTTGAGGAGTATAAGTGCAAGATGATTGATGAATGATGCCTTTAGCTTGAAAATAAGTCATAAAAGGGTCCAAGAAATATTCTTGGGCA